TCAGGATACAGTGGTGGTCCTGGTGAGCTACATCGTGGGTTTGAGTACATTTATGGGTCTACATGACTTTAAAATAGATTATCACCCGCGCTCAGCTAAAACTCAGGATGCAGTTATCTAACACTTGTTGGGACTGGAGATGCAATTAAGCTAAATGCCTTTTTTTTTTTTTTTTAAAGCTTCTGTAACTTCCTTACTTGCATGATGCTGAGAAAAGCCCCTGGATTGTGTTATTTTTTTTCATCCTTAAATTCCCAAGACACAAGCCAGGAAATCTACTGTTCTCCCACAGAGCATCAGTCTCTAAGGGTGGGAGACAGTCCCTAGCCAGGTAAATAAAGCTCTCTCTTGTTTGAATTAGGTTCGCAGGCGACTCTCCCTAAAGGACCACCAAGGGGAGGGGGCAGGAGGAGCAAACATATTGCCACCAAGTTGTCAGAACTGGCAGCCCCCGTACATACTCAGAAAGTAGGTTAAGGTCTGTGAGCATTATGATTAGGGTGCAGGTGGGTGGGGGTGCCAGCTTCTATGTAAGTGGGCTCTTGCGGGAAGGGGGAGGAGCAGGGTGAGGCTCTGGGCAGAATGGGATCCTTTGACTTGGCTTCTAAATTAACCCATAGTTATTTTGGGAAGTCACCTGCTCCAAAGACTAACTTCCCCACCCCCAGAAGAGACGCCCAATGGTGAGCCCTGCTGATTCACATGATCCTAACTCACCAGACACAAAGCACCCTGTGCCAACTGACAGACCGGTTAACCGTTAAACTGTCATAACTGTCAAACCACCCCTGGCTCTGTAAATATGCAGAGCTGTTCCTCAATAAAGGGGCATTTTTCTCCGACAGGAGCCTTGTTGGTTCTTTCAGTTATGCTCACAGGCTTAGCGGTCCCCTTTAACAGGAGGAAGAAACAGGTGACCACTAGGAGGAAGTCCTCAAATGCAAACGTCCCCCAGGGGAGGGAATCTGGGCTGTAAAGTGCTCCTGCTGGAATCCTGCCGTTACTGAGACAGATAGGCGATCCCTTCTGTCACTCAGGCTCCAGGGGGGCGGGCCCTGCACCACAGCCAATCAGACGCTGCTTCAGGCTGCTGGGAGAGTTCCAGGAGCAGCGCCAGTGTGAGGCTGCCCAAGCTCGGAGTGGTGCAAAGGTGGTGCTGTCTGGCGCTGCCACCTGCGGGATCCCTGCTCATTGCTGAGCCCCTGGTGGTTCACCTCCGATTGCTCCTTGACCTCCACTTCCGTCGGAAGCCACAGGGAAGACACCTGGACACTGCAGGAGTCAGGAGATGGTGAGAGTGCTGGCCAGATTGAGATGGTCAGTCACCTGGAGTGGGGTGTGGGACAAAGGGCTGAGGCCAGTGAGCCCAAGCTCAGGACCACCTTGAGGCTGCTAAGGGAGGAAAATGCAGTTCCACCTGAAACCGACTGTG